GAGGAACATGGTCGAGAGCGCTGCAGTGCGAGATATCAGCGAGGCATCCGTTTACCCCGGTGCGTTGCCTTTTTCTTTGATTGCAACCCATTAACCAATTAACATCTGGACGTGCTGCAGAGTACGTTATTCCGAAACTTTACATCAAAATTGCGTATTGCGTGTCGTGTGCTATCCACTCACACGGTAAGCTGGTTACCATCTTCTATTGTTGTCTGGTCCTAAAACCTGTTCAGTTGTCCGTGTTCGTTCACGTGAAGGTCGCCGCAACCGTGCACCCCCCCCCGCGTTCGATGGAAGGACGGCAAGAAGGTTAATCCTGCCGTCGCTGCAGCGGAAGACGCCAAAGCGGCGGCGGGTGGGGCCAGGGGAGGAACATAAGGCGTCTTGATCGTTATTTGTGTTGTATTAGTGATTAGTGATCATACACCCCTCCCAGTCCTTACTTCCTTCGATCTCCAATCTCACCACCCTGCTCAATGCAGATGTGTTATTATGGTACGCATATGTATGTACAAGATGTCTCTTGCACTACTATCTAGAAGACCATCATCATGCCAACTATGGCACAGTAGTGTTGCTAGCGAATGTGAAGAACATACTCTATGCCACTTTCAAATGTCCCCACCCGGTGAAGGAAAGACACGGTAGGAGTGATAAGGGTGATGGCATTGTCAACAAAGAAAAGGGGAAAAACAAAAACAAAAGTTGCCTACCTCAATGATTTCGGGTGATGCCGGCTTAATAAACCTTATAATCATCAATTATATAATATAGACTAAATCTATATAGTTACATGTATTACGTAATATATTCATTTCTGCTGCTCGTTCATTCGCGTCTCTCTCAGCCTCAGCCAGCCACGAGCTCTAATCTTCTCTCTTTCTATGTCCTCCAAACGAAAATGGGACCAAGCTGCACCAGAAGACTTACCGGATGACCCTGAATCCCCTGCGAAGGTGGCAAAAGTGGATGAAAGCAAGAGTGCCTCTACCGCAGCCGCAGCCGCTGCGGCCATTGCAGCTAAAATCGCTGCTCAGTACAGTGGCACCGCAACCGGGGCTGGGAATGGGTTACTCGGCCCTAAGGACATACATGACGGAGAATTCACCCAAGACATTGACATCAATGATGTGAGAAATCGGTATATGTTGACCAAGGGCTCCACCCAACAGCAGGTACGCTCACCTCCTTTCTCCAGAATACATCCCAGAAATATTCACCGTAATACTCTCCTAGATACATGAAGAAACTGGTGCCTCTGTTAGCACAAAAGGTGTATGGTACCCAGACCGTTCAAAAGCTACGGAGAAAGACCCCCCATTGTATCTCCACATATCCGCGAACACGAATGAAATGTTGCAGATGGCCATCGACAAGGTCAATGATCTCATCGCGGTCGACATGGGCTCTCTCGTTGAAGATAAGGGAAGGCGCGAGAAGGTGCTTTTCTTTACATGCGACCCGTCACTGTGCCAGCTCACACACTCATAGCGTAAATGGCCTGAAGAAAAAATCTTCATCGGCCTGGAGTCCATTCGTAATTTCAATGTCCGCGCCAAAGTTGTTGGCCCTACTGTGCGTCTTCTGTATATTAAAGCGATTGTCTCCCAGAACTCGTCTCTAGGGCATGTTCGTCAAATATATTCAGCAGGAAACTGGGACTCGGGTACAGATCAAAGGTCAAGGATCAGGATTTGTAGATCAGGAAACAGGGAAGGAATCCGAAGAGCCCATGCACATTCACATAACGTACGTTTTACGTCGACGTTGAATCTGTTCTGACTTCTCCCTTAGTGGGCCCGAAGACGGTCAAGTCGCCCGTGCGAAGGTGTTGACTGATGACTTGCTAGAGGTCGTCCGAGGAGAGTACGCAAAAGTTAAGGCTATAATGCATCAACAACAGATGGAGCTTCATCAAGCTCAAATGCAATACGCTTCTTATGGTATGATGCCTGTAGGTTATCTTCCATCGAAAACCATTCCCTACCGTGTTTCGTGTTATCAAAATTTGACCAATCCGCCGTTTTAGGGTTACGCACCGCCTCCCCCATCGGCGGCGGCGCCGCCACCACCACCACCTGGCGAACAACCACCACCACCGCCTTCCGATGGGGGCCCAGCCGGCACAAGCTCATCTCCTGCGGCACCAGCGCCCACTGATTTGGATGCCTACAGTGCATATTGGTGGGTGGTTCGTTACACTCGAAACCCAGGACACCTCCATTGACTTTTCACACAGGGCCGCCTATGGCTATGATGTTAACTCTCCCGAGTTCAAAGAATGGCAGGCAAGTCAGATGGCACAATACAACCAATATTATGCATCTCAGGGCTACACGGCACCTGGCTCTGATACTACCACTGCTCCGGGTGCTGGTGGGGCAGCTCCTGCTCCACCTCCCAATGAGCCAGCACCAGCGCCTCCGCCTCCTGCCTAATCACTGCAGTACTTCACATGCTCAGATCTGTACATGTGCCTTACGATCATTGGGCGTATTAATATATATGGTTTTGGTTGCTGATGGCGTCGGAATAATCGGTCAGCAGGTCAGGTACCCCAAGCGGGGTACCTGACCTGTGTTTGCGACGACCAGTGTTGGTTAAGGCAAAGCATAACACGGGTCACACCACGGGTAATTTTACATACACCGCACCCGTAACCCGTCACACCGTACCCGTTAAGACACCGTATTCGCGGGTATGGTTAAAACCCGCGGGTTTTGTTGGCACACTGTGGGTGTACCAGAAACAACGAGATAGAAACTGCAGATATCATACTACAGAGTCAGGGGTGAGGGTGAGTGGAGGGAGAATAAGTGATTTAGGCATGAGGTGAGAGATGAGGTTGAAGTAAGTAGTAGCTTGATCTTATCTCCACAGGATCTCAAGGGACTAACTAGCATGGATACCTGACACACTGCAGGTGGCATCACAGTTCCCATGCCCATGGAGTCATGTCGCAGTCCAAAGGAGTTCACAAAAGATCAACCCAGAGCAGAAAAGTCATCTTATCTTATCATCATGTTGAGATGTAAGGAAATACCCCGCGCCAAATAAATTCACACCGTACCTGTTCCCTGTACCCCGTGAAACCCGTATACCACATACCGCGGGTTTACCCGCACCTGTGTTATGCCTTAGTATTGGTAAGTAAGTGTCGAGAACCACATACGCTGATTGACACGACGATTGGCCTGTCGTCCATTAAATCACGAATGAGTCTCATAGTCGCCACCCTCAGTTTCCTCCCCGTCGCTCTTCTTTTGTACTTTTATATTCGTTTGAATGACACCAAACTCATGCAGTTGCCTCATGATGTGGCCTTTGCTTTCTCTCCTCGGAGGATCAGTGCAAGAGACGCTCTGGCAGCAGAAGCATCCTGGAAAAAAGCTCTCATAGATTCAAAAGCGTTTCTTCCACCGAGTACGGGGAGAAGATATATCGTAGTCGGCGGGGTAGGTCAGCAAGCATACCACACACGGTCACGGATGCATCGCTAACCACTTGTCAGGCTGGCTTTCTTGGTGGGTGGATTGTCCGTCATCTGCTCGAGCGCGGCGAACATCCTAAGCGGATTAGAGTCCTTGACATACGCCCTCCCACGCGTCCTGACTTGACGACAGGCTTGGCCAAGGCGTCGCCTTCCATCAGGTGGACATTTCCGACAAGGAGCGGGTTGAAACGGCTTTCAACGCTCCGTGGCCATCCCTATCTGATCCTGACGAATGGAATCACGAGGATTCATCATCAGTAGAAATCACCGTCTTTCACACCGCGGCCAACATTCGGTTCTACGAACGTGACCCCAGGCTCCTGCACCTTTCTGAAAAAGTCAATGTTGAAGGAACGCAAAATGTTTTAGATGCCGCACGGGCCACTGGTGTAAGCATCCTCATCTATACCTCGAGCGGCTCTGTGTCCATTCGGCGTACGCGACTGTGGCTTTGGCCATGGGAGAAACAACCAGAGTTTGTGGTGCAAACGATCAACGACGATGACAGCCGCCTACCAAGACGACACGAAGAGATGTTTTCCAATTATGCAGCATCCAAAATCAAAGCTGAGAGACTGGTTCGGGCAGCTGATGGTACACAGTCTGGGAGAGGTCAACTTCGTACGGGGTGTCTACGGCCGGGGAACGGTATCTATGGCCCTGGGGGAGATATCTTGTGTGGAGCATATCTTGCCCGACGTGTCAATCCCTCTTGGATTCAAGACATCCTCCAGAATTTTATCTACGTGGAGAATGCCTCGCTTGCTCATTTTTGCTACGAACAACGCATGATTGAGAAGTTGCGAGGTTCTCCCAATCCTGATATTGGAGGGCAAGCATTCAGCATCGTAGATGCTGGCCCACCCGTTACATATGGGGACGTCTATACCGTGCTCACTACCCTCACTAATGGGGAAACCGTATTTCCTCGACTATCTGCCACGACCATGCTTATGCTCTCACACATAATTGAGTGGCTATACCTCCTTCGCCTTTCACGGCTCTGTCATCGAGCCCTGCCCTACGCCGTCTTGGGTACATTGGACGAGCTCCCGTCGACGACCTCATTAATCTCCAACCCTCTCTATTCTCACTCACCATGATACACCTCATTTGGGATGACTCGCGCGCTCGGACATCTCCAGAGAAGGGTGGTCTGGGGTATGAACCTCAATGGACGACACTCAGTGCATTGTGCAAGTTGGTGGAAGAGCACAAAAAAGGACCCGGTCGTTTGGAAGAGAGGTCGATCAGCGGTGATATCAGCGTTGGGATTGGGATTGGGACTGGCCAACGTCGCGGGGAGTGAATAAAGTGATGGAGAAGTCTCGGTGGGAATGCTACCCAGCTCGGTGAATAATGCGTCCTGCGAAGTTTACCTTCGTGCTACAAGTCGGCGCTGCTCCGAGACGATTGTTGCGCTCTCTATTTTAAAAAAGCATAGGATAGACAGGCATTGTGAAACAGTAAAACAACAACAACAACAAAAATATACAAGTTTATTAGCCCACCGCGAGGGTCGAACTCGCAGCCTTCAGATCGCACCCGCCATAAGAGTCTGACGCTCTATCCGATTGAGCTAGGCGGGCATTAGCTTATTAATATCAAAATAATTGTAATTGAATTGTTGTCGATTCTGAAGTCTGAGGTCAGAGGCCGTCTAAGATATCTATCCACGAACCGGTGTTCGTCATTGTAAATAGATGAAAGCAATATACAAGATGTGTGATGATAAACCTGACCCAGGAGCGAACGGTGCGCGTTGTGACTAGGTATAGCAACAGTAGTATAGAGGAAGGGCAGAAAATGCAAAAGGCGGGCGAAAAATATAACGTAACAAATTTACAGCAGCAAAATCTCAAATGTCAATGTCTCAAGGTTTAGGATCTATACTGTAACCAGCCAGAGACATCGTGGAAGAGGATGCCGTCAAGGGCCCTACCGTCGCTTTGGTTACAGACTTCGGGTTGGGAGTTCCTGGCACCCAGAGCACATTTGGTGGTGTTTCAGGTCCAGGTGTGATTGGCCGCGATGCGGCGGGTGTAGGGACTTGTGAGCGATTGTGAACAAGATGTGCGCGGACGAGGTGCCCGGCGGCGAGAGCGCTCATGAGGGAGAGTTCGCCTGCCATGACCGCAGCGGCTATGATGCGAGCAAGCTGTTGTGCATTTTGGCCTGGTTCTGTTGGATGTGCACCTTTAATACCTAGCATCTCCAATACAGCTTGCTGAGGAGCGAGGACGGTGCCTCCGCCAACGGTACCAACTTCTATGCAAGGCATTGTGATAGTAACAAGAACATCTTTACCGTCGTTTACTCTAGCATTCTTGTTGTCAGCATAAAGTCTACAGGGGCAGAAAATGGCAGAAAGGTGGCTTACGATTCCATCAATGTCATACAATTGGACGATTCCACATTTTGTGCTGGGTCTTGCCCGGTCGCCAGGAACACCGCGGTCAAAATGTTTGCGGCGTGAGCGTTAAAGCCACCGATAGAACCTGCCATCGCGCTGCCAACCAGGTTTTTCTTTGTGTTGAGGTTGCACAATGCCTCAGGCGTAGTCTTCAACACCGACTTAACAATATGACCAGGTACGATTGCCTCCGCGACTACGCTCTTGCCGCGTCCTTCGATCCAGTTGATAGCCGCGGGCTTCTTATCCGTACAGTAATTGCCTGAGAGAGCTAGGACGACCATCTCGGGGAAGTACTTGCTCATGACCTCGAGCGCCTTCTCAGTGCCTTTTGAGATCATGTTCATGCCCATTGCATCACCAGTGGTCGTTGCGAATCGAACGAACAGTGTTCGGCCGGCCATGGCAGTCTTGAGCCTCTGCAACTTCGCAAAGCGTGACGTACTTTCAAACGCTTCTTTGAGTATTGCGCTGCCTTCGGCTGAGTCGATCCACGCCTTGGCGGAAGCTGCGAGAGCAACAGACGGGAAATCGATTGCAGGGCCACGAGTCATGCCATCGTAAATGACAACCGTTGACACACCCCCTCCAGCATTAAGGGCTTTGCAACCGCGGGATGTTGAAGCGACAAGTGTACCCTCTGCTGTCGCCATGGGAATTGGGAGCATCTCGCCATCAACTTTGAGAGGTCCCGCGATGCCAAGCGGAAGTGGAATGTAGCCGACAACGTTCTCACAGCAGGCTCCTATGACGCGAGAATAATCATAGTTTGACATGGGTATGTCAGAATGCTCAAGGGTTTTGGTCTTTGTCGAACGAGCTACAAGCTTCTTTAGTGACAAGGCAGTTGCAAAAGTAAATGTACGCACAAATCAGCGCTCTTCGAATCAAAACTGCGCGGTCCAGATCTCCTAAAACCTTTTCGAGGGCGTACGCCTGAATCTTACCGTTCTGGGCCAAAAGAATGACTTCCTCATCATTGAGCAACGATAGTGACACGGACACTGGTCGAGGACCGTTCTCGAATATATCGATACACTCTTCGAGTGAGCGCACAGGTGTTGGAGCCTCCTTCGTGCTGAACTCTTCATCTTGTGAGTCCGACTCATCACCTGTTGTGAATGTAGGCTGCTGCGCTTTAAGCCTCTGATCAACAGAGTCAAGAAGCGATGATATCCCATTCACAGAGGGCGCTCTCGGGACAGCCGAAACAGGAACAGGTCGGACAATTGCGGGGGCCGAGGAATAAACAACAACATCTTCCGTGCGAGACTCCCGGAGTGGAGAAACGGGTGCAGGGACAGATGAGGAAACAACAGATTGCTTCTCCTGAACTCGACTGGCGTTGAATCGAACGCCTTGGGCTTGTTGGACAGTGCGAGTGGAGCCGGTCCCAGTGGAAATACCCTTGAGGAGATAACCGTTAAGTGCAACGCTGACACCAAGGAGTAGAACAATCCATTTAGACAAGATGGGGTCGCCGACAAGCCGAGTCCATGAAGACATGAAGTTATCGATCATATCGTCCGCATCGCGCCCCTTAGCTTTGTGCTCCTTATGAAGATGAGGCGAGATGATGGGCACCATGCGCACGTGGACTGGTGCTGACATGCGCACAACCACTTGTGACTCTTTGTGAAGCGCCGCGAGGCTAGAGAGGGTGTGCTCCACGAATGGACTAGTGATGTCAACAGCGCGGAAGTCAGGTAAAGCATCCCTGATATAAAGAGAGTTATCTGTCGGCTGAAGGCGGGGCATAGGTGTACCAGGAGTGAATGTAGCGTTCAGCAAATGGAGCGACAGGAATGATACAATCTGGACGACTTTGTTAGCCTGATACTCGAGAAAGGGAGAGAGCACACACATACCAGCAACAATTTCAAGCGAGCGACGGGGTTCTCTTCCTTTCCATCTTTCTCTTTCGATTGCGACTTCAATAGCGAGCCCTTCACGCCCAACAAAGCAGCTGAGGTACGCTGACGCAGACTGAGTTTCGGAATTTGCAATTGGCCATTCACAATTACTGGGGGCTTTACATCCGACATGGATGACCTTCTCGATGACAAGACGCGGAACATCTTAATGCGGCGCACCTACAACAATAAAGCATGACATATGAGTGTCTATCAATCACAAGACGAGACCAATACAAGGCAGGATAGGAATCAATCCCATCCTGCCCAAAAAAAAAATGTACATGATATTGGACCAGACAGGAACTTACCTCGATCATAACACTGAGAATAGCGATGTAGAATGTCGCCGTTGCTGCACAATCTACTGTCAAGAGTAGGGCTGCAAGAGCACAGAATTCCTTGAGACCCCCAACCTTGCTATATGCACCAATAAGCAGTACGGCAATCTCAAGAATATAGTCCCGAACGATGATGTTGCCAACCTTGTCAAGCGCCTCCAAGATAAGGTCTGGGGATGGTTTCATCTGGCCCCGTAGACGCCCTTCCTGAATGGCAGGTTGCATAAGATGAGGGTGACCGAACACGGCGCGAGCGAGGCGAAGAGGCTTCTCGAATCCGACAGTGCAGACTAAGAAGGGCAGGGCTTCAATTAGGCTTACAGGGTCAAGAGGGATACGTAGGTAACCAGCAATGGGGAGGGCAACCATAAAAGAGAGTGTCGAAGAAGACAGGATTGCAGTGGTCAACCAGAAGTTGGAGCCGAGGCTGCGAGAAGACAAGAACAGACGAATGAACGTTGTATGCATCAGCACGTATCCGGCGAGGACAAGCAAGATATCTAGATTATCCGCTTTCTGGTAAAGGAGCGTGGTCAGACACAGTTGACAAGTATCGAACCACCTTACTGACCTTAGTGAGGTCCCAGAAGCGGACTACTAAAGTGCGCGCTGCGTAGACAACCCACTTGCCACTTTTCATCTCTGCGATTGCCTCTTGCTCTGGATTTTCAACAAGATATTTAATGGGGCCGAAATCCTCTGAGATAAATGTGCCTTGTTTGGAGAGAGCACTGATGAAGTCCTTGCGACCCTCCGCAGTAAATGAGAGTGTCAGTGACTCGGATTTCGGAATATCTGAGAAGGTTGAAGTGAAACATGTTGGTTCTCCGTCTTGGTCTCTCGGAACCGAGTAGCATACATTCTGTATAGTTTGCCAGAGGAAGTGGGGAAGCGGTGTGTGAGGAAGTGTGTCATGTTTTCTAGGGAACTAGCAACCTGGGGCGACAGTCTTGAGCTCTCGGCAATCTGTAGTCTGTTAGTGTATGCGTTAAAGATATAGAAGACTATCCGCGCGCACCTTCTTTGCTGTCCTCGCATCGAAAGACATAACCAATTGCTGAAGGTCTATGGCAGCAACACGCGTAGAGGGATTGGTGACAGCGTCTAACCACTCGCGTTCTTGAACGTTGACCCATTCGTTGCTTCGCCAGATGGCATGCGACGGGTGTATTGAGGATTGGGTGGTTGGAGCGAGAAAAGAGGAATGTTTGATAGCGGAAAGGACATGGAAATATGCAAGTGTGGCAAGAACGAAAAAAACACGATGGTTTCTATGGGTGAAGATGCGGCATAAATTGAAATTGGGCGGATTAGAGCCCTCATTGTGAGCGCGCTGTGAATGTATGTATCAGGACCAAGAGATTATCAACCGGATGAGAGAGTTCAGAGAGGGGTAAGTTGGAGAGCTATGAGGACGATGGAGTGGCGGCTGGCGGTCGCCCTAAGTAATGATTCTCTATCTATGGATTAAAGAAACCTTAAAAATCAAGGTGAGGACGAGTCGTACGATTTGAACAAATAAGAGAGAAGAAAAGAATAATAAAAGAGTAAGAGAGATGAGAAAGTGGGGTAAAAACAAGAAAGAAAGAGTGGAACGACAAGGGACATATTTATTATTTACTATGGGTATGACCCCGGAGAGTTGCCTGGAACCGGAGACATCATCTTCATGGACATTGACTACCCCCGGATCTATCGCAAATTACGCCTTACGCCACTCCCCCGTTCCCCTGCGTAACCTGATCCGTACACTTCGCCTCTCTGTCTCTGCTCAATCTCAAACTTCACGCTGACACGGATCTTGGTAATCTTTGATTTTGATTTACATACATCGCTCATCGCTCTTGTCCCACACTGCCCCTCCCCCGACAAAGCCATATCTCTGTCTCTGAGCTATCATATCCTGCCCTTCACAAGTTTTT